CGCGTTGGTGATCGCACCTCTTTTTGGAAACCGGGCAAACGCCCCGGTATTAAAAAAAAAAAAAAGATCCTATAAGCAAACAGGGAATTAGAACATAATAATAAAAGATGCAGGACTGAATGGGAAATAACAGATGAACGGAGCGGACACAAGCCAGCAGGATGAAATCGCAGTTGGTATTTAGACAATCATGGTGCGAACTCGACAGGGCGCGAGCCGTGTGTGCGCTCGTTTTTAAAAACTATATTCGGTAAATTTCCAAACGGTAAATGGTCCGAGGATCGATCCCGTCTTCGATACCTTGCTATAATTTGTGGCGGGTGCTGAGGAAGGGGAAGTGGAGAAAGGGGGCGGCGCAGGCCATGGTGCGAGATAGGGCATGTTCCGTGGCATGTTCCCTTATCGGAGAGCCTGCCGCCCACGGCCGGGCCGGGCGGGGCGGGGCCGGCGGAGGCAAGGGCTCCACGTCTGAGGGACTCCTCGCCTGCTGATGAAGCAGGTGCGGAAAGAGCAGAGGGAGAAAAGGGAAGGGGAGAGGGAGAGGAGGGGGGGGGGCACCACGGCAAAACGGCATCAGGGCCGGAAGTGCTTCAAAATGAAGTGCCGAAAGGCCTTCCGTGGCTAGGTGCGCCTGGGTGCGCGCCTGGTGTTGGGGAGGGGGGGGGGGCAGGTGCATCCGCCCCTCCTCTTCCTTCTTACGCTGAATAGCGTCCATGCTGATGCCAAACTTATGAGATTTTCTTTTCCTTTTTTTTTATTTCCTTTTTTTCATTCAAATTCCTTTGCAAAGTTTGTGCTGGGGTGAAACTAAGCGCAGCATCCTCATCCGAGAGACTCTCGCGCCGAGACCTCGGTATACGATTCACCACCTGGTACGTACCTTCAAAACAGATGAACCAGGTTGAACGCGCCAGCCCAGCCTTCCGGTCATACCTTGCGTTTGGACCTATCAATATTCGCCCGCTGCAGACGTCGAAGTGAACGAGACCAGAGGGTGGGGTGGGGGTGGGGGGTGTTATTAGTGGGTCCGGATATGCCATTTCCGCGCTGCAGAACGCGTTGGAGTTTGGGCACCAGGTCCAGGTGGGACCGGATTTCCTCTTCACTCTGCCCAAAATGTCCTCTCTCATCCCCTCCCCTTGTTTTTCTCTTTCTTTCCTTTTCCCTTTCTTCGCTTCTTTCACAAAGGACCACGTGGTTGTGTGAAGGGCCTCTATTCGAGCCTCTGCCATTCCACGGGAACCATGCCACAGTAGTAGAGGCGTCAGATCGACGCTATGAGGGCGCGCACAGTCAGTATGGTTCGGGGACGGATTACAATCCAATGCAACATTGACGCCAGCAGCTGACGAGGCGGGAGGCGCGGAACGCGGCGGACGGGCGGGGCGGGGCGGAGCGTGGGTCTGCCCCGGGGAAATCACTCCGGATGCCATATCGAGACCCTCTGCTCTGCTGTCTTTCGAAACTCATCCGCGCACCCGCAATTTATTTTTTTCTTGTCTCCACTGCGATTCTTTATGTGGCGTCGTATTCCCCACAAAAGGGGATCGACGCGGTACTCGCGGAAGTCCCTTTACACACGCAAGATGTGGGGGTGGGGAGGGAGGTAAAGCGCGGTCAGCATTGAATCGGGCCCTGGCCGGAACTAATCACTTGCTGCGCGCGAAGTGCGGGCCGCGGGCCGGATTTGGACCTAGATCTGGCTCAGATCGCGGAACGGGGTGGGAGTATGGTACCCGGCCGAGCAGCTGGCGGGCAGGGACTGTGGCTCTGCGGGCCGCCCCGGGGGCCCCTGGCGCTGCACGCACCGGCTTAACACTCTCCCCAGTCTTGCATATTCCATCTGCTCGCCGTTTGTTTTCTCTGGGAAGCCGTAAAGCGGCCGCCTGCGCGCCGCCCGGGCGAGGAGCTAACAGGGCGGGTGGCCCGGCCGGGGCCCGGCGGCACAAGTGGGGGGCGTTTTACCCGCACTCACTGCGAATGCAGCAGCGTGGCTTTTAGCGTAATGAAGGGCGTTGCCACAGCGGCAGGGCGGCAGGGCGGCAGGGCGGCAGGGCGGCAGGGCGGCAGGGCGGCAGGGCGGCAGGGCGGCAGGGCGGCAGGGCGGCAGGGCGGCAGCCGGGAGCCACACGCCGCGCACCGGCCAGCCGAGCCGTACGAGTGCGTACCTCCACCACCACAAGCTGCATTGCGTACGAATGCCTGAAGATGAGCCGCTGAAAGGGTCTCTCTGTCTCTGTCCCTGTTTCTGTCTGTCTGTCTGTCTGTCTGTCTGTCTGTCTGTCTGTCTGTCTGTCTGTCTGTCTGTCTGTCTGTCTGTCTGTAAAACGCCAATACCAATCCATACGAGGGGCATGCTGACCCGCTCTGCCTGTCGTCTCCTCCTTCCTGCTCAGTTTACTCTCGAACAAAATAATGAGATTATGCGATTGAAAAACACAACCCGTCCCCCTCGGTCCCCCTACACTGCCGGTCCAAGTGTGGGAAATGATCCAAATGGCATGGCGAAAGGGGGTTCTCTTTCTCTTCTTCGATGCGCTGCCAGCGCCGCCAGCGCCGCCACTGCAGCACTGGAGAGCAGGCGGCGGCGAGCGGAGAGCGCCTGGCGGTTAGGCTCTCCTCGCAGCGGCCGGGCAGCGGCGCGGAGCGGGTGGCCTACCCCGCTCTCGTCGGGCTGACTTGCAGCAAGCGCAAACGAACGGGGAACCGTCGGATAAGGGAGAGGAGGGGAGGTGGAAAGTAAGGACGAGGACGAGGAACAGGAACAGGAACACGACGAGGAGAGGATGGCAGGCGGAGTAGGCGAGCTGCAGCAACTGGGCGCGGGGGGTGCGAGGAGTAGGATTAGGTGGACGAGGACGAGGAGAGGGTAGGCGACGGAGTGGGCGCACTGCAGCCCGTGGGCGTGCGGAGCACCCAGGCCCGCCCGCCCCGCCTGGAGGCGGAGGAGGTGGAGGATCAGGATCAGGACAAGGACGAGGAAAGGGTGAGCGGCGGAGTAGGTGCACTGCAGCCCGTGGGCTCGCGGGGAACCCAGGCCCGCCCGCGCCGCCTGGAGGTGGAGGAGGTGGAGGACGAGGAGAGGGTGCTGGGCGGAGTGGGCGGGCTGCAGCCCGTGGGCGCGCGGGGCGCTCCAAGCCCGCCTGCCCCGCGCCTTATCGCCCGCTTTTAATTACGAGTCTCGTAAAGGAAATTGAGGAGTGCTGCTGATGTTTTCACCGTCTGCTGCGCCGTCGTCGGCGGCG